TGTGTGTCTGTGTGTGTGTGTGTGTGTGCGTGTGTGTGTGTGTGTGTGTGCGTGTGTGTGCGTGTGTGTGCGTGTGTGTGCGTGTGTGTGCTTGTGTGTGTGCCGGGGGGGGGGGGCGACCCCTCCCCCACCAATCAATCAATCAATCAATCAATCAATCAATCAATCAATCAACTAACCAATCAATCAATCAATCAATTAATCAACCAGTCAATCCATCAATCAATAAAAAAAACACAAAAAATGTACGATACAAAACTGCGCAATCGTTCAATCAAACGGAAAAAAAAAAAGGTCCTTTTTTGTTTTTTTGTTTTTTTTTTAATATGGGGGGGTGGGCCCCTGTTCCCGCCGTCGGAATCCCGACCCCGATGGTCTGGACCCCCCTCTCCTTGGTCTCAGCGGGCCATCCCCGACCGCGACCACGACGGTCATGACCGCAGCCCCGCGGCCCCGACCGCGGGCCACGGTCATGCCCGTGGTGACCGAGGCCGCTGGGGATACATAGCCGCGAGCCGCTGAACCATCAGATGGCACGACCATCAGATTATCCAGCGTCGTCGAGGCGTCGAACCATTGGAGGGTCTGACGCCTGAGGATGTCCGACCATCAAAAGGTCTGGCGCCTTGGATGCCCGACCGTCGGAGGGTCTGGCACCTTGAGGACGCTGGACCATCGGATGGCTTGGAGGCCTTGAGACGCCTGACCTTCTGGTGGTCCAGCTTCCTCAAGCCGTCAGACCATCGGATGGCACGACGATCAGGCGTCGTCGAGGTGCCGAACCATTGCAGGGTCAGGCGCCTTAGCGACGCCGGACCATCAGAGAGTTTGACGCCTTAACGTCGCCGGACCATTGGAGCGTCTGATGCCTTAACGACGCTCGAACATCAGAGGGTCAGGTGCCTCTGAGGATGCCGGACCATCGAGGGGTCTGGCGCCTTGAGGAAGCCGGACCATCAGATGGCCTGGTGTCCTCGAGCCGCCGGACCTTCTAGTGGTCCAGCGTCCTCGAGCTGCTGGACCATCGGATGGCATGGCCATTAGATGGTCCGGCGTCGTCAAAGCGTCGGACCATTGGAGGGTCTGGCGCCTTAACGACGGCGGACCATCGGAGGGTCTGCTACCTTAACGGCACTAGACCGTCAGAGGGTCAAGTGCCTTTGAGAATACCGGACCATCTGCCGCCTTGAGGACGCAAGACCATCAGATGGCCTGGCGTCCTCGAACCGTCGGAGCATCGGATGGAACGACCATCAGATTGTCTGGCGTCGTCGAGGCGTCGGACCATTGGAGGGTCTGGGGCCTTTAAGATGCCAGACCATCGGAGGGTCTGCCACCTTAACGACGCCGGACTGTCAGAGAGTCAGGCGCCTTTGAGGATGCCAGACCATAGAGGGCTCTGGTGCCTTCAGGACGTCGGACCATCAGATGGCCAGGCACCCTCGAGCCGCCGGACCTTTTGGTGGTTCGACGTCCTCGAGCCGCTAGACCATCGGATGACACGAGCATCAGATGGTCCAGCGTCGTCGAGGCGCCGGACACTTGGAGGGTCTGGAGCCTTAACGACGCTGGACCATCGGAGGGCGTGACACCTTAAGGACGCTGGACCGTCGGAGTGTCAGGCGTCTTTGAGGATGCCGGACCATCGAGGGGTCAAGCACCTTGAGGACACCGGACCATCAGATGGCATGGCGTTCTCGAGCCGCCGGACCATCGGAGGGTCTAGTGCCTTGAGGATGCCGGACCATCGGAGGGTGTGGCACCTTGAGGACGCCGGACCATATGACCGAACCACTTGATGACCCGGCGTCCTCGAGCCGCCGGACCATTGGATGGCACAACCATCAGATGGTCCAACGCCGTCGAGGCGCCGGATCATTAGAGGTTCTAGCGGCTTGAGGACACCGGACCATTGGAGTGTTTGGCGCCTTAACGACGCTGGAGCATCAGATGGTCTGGCGCCTTAACGACGCTGGATCATGTGACCGGACCGTCCGATGGTCCGGCATTCTCGAGCTGCCGGACCAAAATATGGCACGACCATCAAATGTTCCAGCATCGTTGAGGCGTCAACTCATTGGAGGTTTTGGTGCTGTCGGTGTGAATACCCTTACAAGGGTATCCGCCTTGTTTTTTGCGAGCGACGGAAATGGGTTTAGTTTAAAGTTTGAGTATTCCGCTCGAGGCGCGGCTGCGGCTGTGGTTTACGTTGGCTGGGAAGTTCACTATAGTAGAGAGTGTGTGGGCGTGCAGATTTGAGGCGTGCGTGATCCCTTTATTTTTGATTGGTGATTGTGAAGATCCGCGTAGTTGCCGGCCAGATTTTTGGCCCTGACTAAGCTAGGATTAAAAGATTATATCTCGTTGATTTATGTGTTTGTCGGTGGCCTATGCGTATGTGCGGAGGACGACATCGACAACAGTGTGATTTTGAACGCATCTTGGTAGGTCTGCGAATTACGCAGGTATTGTTTTAATGAGATATCCGCCAAAACTAGACCCAGACTTGGGCCTAGCCCTATTGGCAACAACATCGGACTTTCCTTAAAGAGATTCAAGGATCATGGTCAAGCGGCGATGACGAGGGAATAGCATAGTAGAGCGGAAGGACCAATGGGGTTGAGAGTCCGACGGGGCTATCCTCCCTTGGTTTTGTAGTCGGCGGGGATGGAAAGGTGCTAGCAGTTTCTTTTTCCTCGTCCGCCGTAATCTGACGATTAAAAAGGTCTAAATATTTTTATTAATTTTTGTACTATAATTTACCTTGCTTCGGTACTCCTTGACTCAGGCACAACGCCGGATTGAAGGTCGTCACGATGGTCGAGGACCTTGAGCACGCGCCTCCTCGTTGACATGTGAGTTCTTCGAGTGTTCGGGATGTTCGTGAGGGTCCACAGTCCCACCATGTTGAAGCACGGACCGGGGAGTTCAATGTGCATGCGCCTAAGCCCATATTGTAGGCTTAGGAGTAAGTTCGTGTCTTTCCACCGATTGAGGAGTCAGGGTGGTCACAACAGCAGTACCATCCGTTCGGACCCGGAGATACTCACCTCCATACAGTCCTGCCGCAGATACCAATCGACACCCTTTGTGGTGTCTGGACACTTCGGCACAGGGCCGGGACCAGGGGCGCTAAGCAGAAGGGTCGCAATGCTACTGGCGGGGAAGTCGTACGTCGGGACTTGGGTATGGGGCGGGCGGCTGGTAATACTGTGCGCGGGACTATGACAGAGTGCCTCTAAGTCGGAGTTTGCGTTTGCGGCGACGGTATATGCCTCTTCGAATGGTACAAACTTGTTGGACCACCCTTGCAAAGTTTCCCTCAGAATAGCGAGTGGGCTGGTGAGGGGCGCCGCCTCGCAGCTACGGGATCGAGAGTTGTGAAGGGAAGGCCGATATCGACAAGAGTTAGACAAGGAGAAAAGCGATGGGGCCGACTGAGCAGCGTTAGTAACAGAATACGAGGCAGATAGCGGAGCGCTTGACAACTCCACTGCATCACATAGTCGAAGATGGGAAGTCGAAGGAGTCAGGTAGTGGGGGGGGGGGGAGGCAGTGCAATGACAGACAGCGGGCGCAAAAAAGGCAAACGCACCCGAACGCGATCTGCCACAGGATCCATTTGCAAGTTGAGACGGGGAAGAAGAGGAGATGGCAACAAAAAGGGGAGGAGTTGATGAGGTGAAAAGTGCTTAGCGCACTCAACCCTCAATGGATTCGGGCAAACCAAGAGCCGAATCCGAGGTTTTTGAGGAG